CGATCCAGACCGGCTCAAGTTTGACTCAGCCTTCCCTCCTTCCAAGGTTGGTAAAATGGGGGCCTGGATTGTTGAGGGCAAGAGGCTGACTCTGTAAACTGCTTAGAGAGGGCTGTACAGTACTATGAAGCGGTATATAAGTGTATATAAGAGCTGTTGCTCTTCCTTTTCTCCTTCCTTCCATGGTGGCACAGTTGTTAGAATGCAGTATTGCAAGCTAACTGCCGACTGCAAAGCAGTTCGATCCTGACCAGCTCAAGGTTGACTCGGCCTTCAATCCTTTCGAGGTCAGTAAAATGAGGACCCAGATTGTTGGGGGCAAATAGGCTGACTCTGTAAACCGCTTAGAGGGGGCTGTAAAGCACTGCGAAGCGGCATATAAGTCTATTGCTGTTTCCTAACCTTGATCCCTAAAGAGCAGTTGACCCCCAACCTTATGGGCACCAAGGACCGATTCCATGGAGAGAGTATTTCCCACGGGTCAGAGGGGGTGTGGTTTCGTGTGCTGCCTGCATCCCATGGATAAGGCTTTGCTTGTTTGTGTGGACCAGTTGCTGGCATGGACTGGGGTTTTGGCAGCCCTGAAAAAGCATAATGTTGATCATCAGACTGATCAGTGTTGAAAGGGAACACGTAAATCCTCCCTCCAAAGATTTAAATCTTAGACTTTCAATATCTTCGAAGTCTTTTTAGCTGTGGTTCCCCCACAGCAATTATAAATTTCTTCAATAGTTGCCAATTTTGGGGGATAAAATGTAATAATACATTCCCATGTTTAACCCTTATTTGCTTGCTTTTTCGGTGCCCTATTAATAACTTAATGAAGTCCAACAGTGGTGTTGTAGAGCAAAGCAACATCGAGTCATTGTGTTTTTTAAACATTACATTTCTTTCTAACATACAGAAGTTAAAACACAACCTTGGCCACCCATCTGGTTGTCCAGAAAGTCATTTTTTTGTATTAATTGTGTCTTGAGACAACAGGATATTAATTTGACATTCCTTTAAAGCCTATTTGGTTTGTTAAAACAGGATGTTCCATCTCTTTGTTGCTTTCAGCATTTTCTTATATTTTGGCACTACTTTTTCATTGTACATATAAAAATTACTTCAAATTTACTCACGTCAAAAACTTTTCTCAATAATATTAGTAATTTAGGAGGCTAATGTGTCATGTCCAAATTGTAAAACAAGGACAGATTTTAAGAAATCCCAGATTTTTTTTGGAAATTATCCAAAACTAATTAACAATGTTTTAAAGGACTAATTAACGGTGAGTTGATCCAAAGTGTTAATGCCATTTTTTTTAACCCATGAACACAGAAGAAAGATTTATCAGCAGTTTTCAGGGTAGGATTATAATGTCCTTAATGTCTGTTTCTCATGATAATTGGAATCAGAATTAAGCTCCTTCCCTTCATTGCTTGTATTAGTACTTATAGCTCTTAAAACAGGAACTGAACCGCCGCCAAGATTTTAAGAGGGTCAAATAACTTGTTCTCATACAATAATAATTTTCAAGATGCATCACTTAGGCGCTATTTCTTTGAGGTCAACATATAACCCTGGTATAGCTGGGAATCAAGAAAATTAATCTTTCTATGAAGATCATGCTGTAATTGAAAACCTTAAAATCTGTCTATTCCATAAGTATTCTAAATACTTCAACACTATGTTTCACTGAATATCTCTCCAAGTATATACTAGTCTTGAAACATTCAATTTTTTTATCACTTTGATGTTTATCTAAGAGCTAACTTTCCTTTTCTGGCATCTTTTTAACACCCAATAAGAAGAAATTGCCATTGGCAGGAGATTTTTTTATAACACAATGTTGATTTTGGTTTGCCAGGTTACAACAAGCGAACAGTATGAAGCCTACTGCTATTCCTTACCTTATAATACAGCTAGTCCTCAACTTACAACCGCAGTTGAGCCCAATTGCTGAGCAAGATAGTTGTTAAGATAATTTTTTCACCTGTTTTTTCCCCCACAGAATGGTGCTTTGTGATTGGATTTTTTTAAAAGAACTTTATTATTTTTCAAAAATAAAGTTATCCTGCAAAATTACAATATAAAGGGAAAAACTGGGAGAGAGGGGCAATGGGGGAAGTTGAAAAAAATGACATAAATCCCCCCACCAAAAAATAACATTTTTTAAAAAGTTACTTCCAATTCTCTTCAATATGGATACAGTTATAAGATCAAATACAATCTTGCCTTCAGTTGAACAAAAAAGAAGACACAAAATTAAAAACGCGAAAGATGAACATAGCAAACATGCTATGTTTTATCTTTCCTGTTTTTAATTTTGTGTCAAATTGTTCTTTTTAAATTTTTACAGGTTGCTTTTTAATTTTGTATCCCAATATCAACAAACTTCCCTGGAGTTTAGAAGCTTTTTATGCTGCAGCACCCTCTAGTGTTAAAATCAGGTTAAATCCGCCTTGTTTGCGTCAATGTTTTATCAAGCCTATCGGAACAGCCCAGTTCTCTGCTTTGCGCAGCTTGTCTGAACTGGCCTGACAGGCTTTTAAACACAAACAGCAGCTGTAATGAAAGACTTCGGTGCTGAAAAGGGCTCCCTTAATTTGTAATAGGATTAAAATAGGTGCCGTTACAATCTTAAAACTGCAGCGGTTTGCAAAATGATCAAGGGAGAGTGAGAGCTCGAAACGCAGAGCTGCAGCCTGCACAGGGGAGATCGTGCCAAAGTAAAGGATTGATTAAAAAAAAAAAAGGAAAAAGTCCATCAGTCCCTGATATAGAAAAGCTTCCGGGGGAAAAAAAAAGCTACTATAAAATGAAATGGAATAACAGCTTCCATATTTCCCTGAGATCTGACTTTTGAAAGTGTCGGTTTTTCCTGTTAGCACCGCGCAGACTTGCCAAAGCGACAATGTCTGGGTTGTTTTTCACACTCTCTGCAATGTTTCCTGTAGCTGCCAGTTATTGCGATACGTGAGGCGAACCTAGACAGGGTGTTGATGGCATGGCTGCAGAGAGTGTCTCCGGATTTGAAAAATATAAACAGCTGTCTATTGTCTAGCAATTTAATGAAAAGAAGGACTAACAGGGGACTTGATAGCAGTTCCAATATTTGAGAGGCTGAGACAGAGAGGAGAAGGGGTGTCAACCTATTCAGATATTCAAGATCACATGAAGTGTTAATATTACTTTATAAGACCTTGGTCAGGCCACACTTGGAAGCTTGTGTCGAGTTTTGGTCGCCACGATATAAAAAAACATGTTGATCAGGGGTGGGATTCAGATTTTTTAACAACCGGTTCTGTGGGCGTGGCTTAGTTGGTGGGCATGGCTTGGTCATGTGACTGGCTGGGCGTGGCCAACTCAACATCACTCACATCGAGGCACGCACCTTGTGGCGTCCTGGCCTCTCATGACTGTGGGGATGCTGCATCAGTCGTAAATGTGAAAAATGGTCATAAGTCACTTTTTTCAGTGCCATTGGAACTTTGAATGGTCCCTCCACACAAGCAAAGTACCAGCAAAGGAAGGAAAAAAAAAAACTCCAGAGAAGTTCCTGAGACAGGAAGTCTAGTCTTGCCAAGAATGCAATAAGGGTTAACAGAGAGGCAATTTCTGTAAGCAACACCAGCATGTTTCCTTCCTGCCTTCCTTACAGGATTAGGCCAGTAATTTCTTCTAACAACCGGTTCTCCGAACTGCTTAGAATGTTAACAACCCGGTTCTAGCGAATAGGTGCGAACCTGTAAAATCCCACCCCTGAATCTAGTGCCATGATGGTGAACCTATGGCACATGAGAGGTCGCCCGGAAGAGTCCCACTGCGCATGCATGCACGCCACCCGCCCAACAGCTGATTGTCGGGGGTCTCACGTGCATGCGCCAAGATGCATGGTGTGCAAGGGATCGCGTGCGCAGGGGGCTTGGGGGGTGCGCGCATTGCCTTCTGGGTGCTGGCATGTGAGCGCGCATGCAATTTGCAACACAGGAGACAAAAAAGGTTAGCCATCACTGACCTAGTGATGGTCATGGGATACTAAAGAAGCAATCAAATCATACTAGGAAACTAAATAAAACAATATAAATTGTAAAGATATAAGCAACAAAGTTATAGTCATAAGTGGGAGGAGAGAGGTAATAGGAAGGATGAGATGAAGAATAGTAATACTAAGGAAGATACTTATTGGATTTTATTGATGGGCTTGCTGCCAGAAACTCTCCAGAAATATAGGCTAATTTCTAGTAAGCTGAACAATAGTAGCTCCTAACATGGGATGCCCATAGTAGTCTGTACTAATAGAAGATACTTAAGTGTGCCCTCCGAGCAGGTCATGTCCTGAATTATACTAGTAAGATGCTAAGATGAGATTAGAGTCACCAAGTTGAAAAGTTCGAGTTTGAAACCAAAATATTGAAAACTGTTTATTTTGCTTAGCCAAAGTTACTTATCCTTTAATTCCTCAAATCTTATGCAGCCCGTGGCTATCTTGGCAGGATGCAAAATGTCAATCAAATCACCGAGTCTGTAAATGTTATTTGTTTACATCCAATTGACATTAATTAATTAAAGGTTTAAATTGTCGAACAAAATGGTTCTCGATCCCCTGGAAGGCAGAATGTAGTGCATGAAAGTAGCCAATTGACAAAATACTGAAATCTGTTTACCTGCTTCTACTAAGAACTATGCAGATTAAATATTCAGAGGGGTAGAAAGAGAGATGACCAGGGGGAACTATTAGTACGAATGGGCAGGTCTCTAACATTGCTGAAACAGTTCTGTGTCAGGACACCGATAATTTTGGTTTAGTGGTGATACTTCATTCTCATTCTATTAAATATTTGGGTATACATGATCGTGGTAAAGTTTAGCTCCTTGACTTAGGTAGTAAGCCTCCCAAAGTGACAACCTTTTTCTCTTATGCACTAAAGTACTGTCTTACTGATAACCCCGTGGTATTAAATATGTCCATATGCCATTATTTACAGAACCCTATTTCATTCTTTTCATTGCAGGAATTGATTACAAAACCACAACAATTCTGTTAGATGGCAGAAGGGTCAAACTGGAGCTCTGGTGAGTCAGCATTATATAAATCTTTCAAAGTAGTGGAAAACCCGAGCAGGGAATCTGAATTCACTAAAGATAATCTGCAACTTTATATCGTTATTAAAATCTGTTTTAGTTATGCTGTAATTCATATGAAATATATAACCTGTAAATTAGCTTATGTTGAATCTCCCCTCCATGATGATGAGGATGAATGTTACTCTACAAGAAAGCAAGATTTTGTACAATGTGAAATAAGCTATGAAATCTAGCCCACAAGTTTATTATTTTTATTTTTGTACGTCCTGCCTCTATTTTTTTATATATATATATAAACAACTCAAGGCAGTGAACATACTTCATACTCCTTCCTCCATCTAATTTGCCAACAACAACCCTGTGAGGTGAGTTGGACTGAGAGAGAGTGACTGGCCCAAAGTCACCCAGCTGGCTTTCATAGCTAAGGCAGGGCTATCCTAAAGGTCCTTTTTTTTTTCAAGAGGCAACTGGACTTTCTGTGTTTTTCTTTGAAGATGTTTCTCTTCTCATCCAAGGAAGCTTCTTCAGCTCTGACTGGACGGTGGGGAGTGGAAGGATTTACATTCCTTGCAGACAGCTGGTCATTTGCATTCTTTTTAGAGAGTCCTTGAGGCCGCTTGGAGGTTTATACGTGTTGTGTGGCAATCTCTGTCCAGGTGGCCTCAAGGACTCTCTAAAAAGAATGCAAATGACCAGCTGTTTGCAAGGAGTGTAAATCCTTCCATTCTCCACCATCCAGTCAGAGCTGAAGAAGCTTCCTTGGATGAGAAGAGAAACACCTTCAAAGAAAAAAACCAGAAAGTCCACTTGCCTCTTGAAAAAAAAAAAAAAGCACCTTTGGGACAACCAGGACCTGGAGGACTGAGAATCTCCATTGATATCAGGCAGGGCTAGAACTCACCGTCTCCTGGTTTCTAGCCTGGTGCTGGACTACATGAAACACTAGACCAGACTGGCTCGCTAAACAATATCTAAATATATACTCTACAGAAAAAGGAGGAAAAGTTATAACGAGAAGAAATACTGACTCTGTTTTTAAACACAGATGTTCAAAATGCTGGTGACAGCTGTTGCCATAACATTGAATGTTCAGCTAAGCAAATTGTTCTAACTAGAGGACTGCCTGCATCAAGCTGCTTATGCAGAGAGAGGACACTTCGAAGGAAATGTTCGCCAAAATTGCCCCCTTGCAGGCTTTCCATAACAACGGCCACCGATCAAATAAGCGCGGCATAAGTTCCTCTGGTTTTGCGGTACAGACAATCCCATCGGGAAGAGAAACCCGACGTAGGGCATTTCGGCTAATGAGGCTTCCAGCGGCTTGTGGTGTCCTCCTCCCAAGATCATTAGAAGCCCAGCAGGATTCAAAGCACCCCGATGAGGCCCTCAGCCAAGGGAATCTGACCTCCGCTTGCCTTTCAGTGGAGACTTGCAAAGTTGTGCACACCCCTCCCCGCCACGCCACAGATGTCTGGCGATGCCCCTTGGTGCGCTCCACTGTGTAGGTAAATTCAAAGGGGCGAGAAAAACAGGGAGGCAGCTGGTATCCTTAAGGCACCCCCGCCTTCTGTTTACTACGGAACACGTTGTACTCCTAAACAAATACGGTTGTAACCATCCCCCGTGATGTAATGATGGCCTCGGCCATCGACCTTGATGCCTGGGCCCCACTATTTTTCTTTTCCGGACAGAAGGAGATCTGTTTTTATAACTTACACAATAAAGCACCGAGCACTTTCTGTCCTGTTGGAACCTCCGCTCAGAAAGAGGCCCAGGGGAGAAAAAGCTACTTGCTTGGCCAAAAATCACGAGGACGATTTATGACGGAGCCTTGACTTCTCCAGTCTTAACTGCACAATGAAGAAGAGATTTCAGAGGTCCCGAGTATCGTTCCTGACAAGAGTTGAAAAGAACGGCCAGTAAGAAGGGGGAACAATGATCTGCGTTCATAAATGACGTGTTACTCAACCAAAACCTGGTTTAATACGGAGGACCAGGGAAAAGCATTAAAGCCCTCCGCTCTGCCAAAGCTGATACGACTTTTATATATAT